TATTTTTATTTATGTTAATTGTTACTTTAACCTTTGACCCCCCTAAGTTTCATTCCTGGGTCCGCCCCTGCTTAGTAGGGTTGTAAGTAATTAGGAATGACCCAATTAATGATATTTACGAGCAACCCTGAGGCCCAGAATGTAATGCAAAAGCACACCAACACATAAATAGAAATTGTTCTGTTTACCATATTGATTTTCTATGAAACTCGTCCTCAAAAGAAGAATACCAAACTCATCAAATGAATCGGATACCATTATCTTCTTTGTTCTGAATCTACTTAAGAAATTGAGGGTAGAGTTAGTGAATAAGAAAGGGATGATTCCCAAATTGTGGATTAGGATGAAGATTCCTTTACTTCGCCTTTCAATTTCAATCCCACTATACATTATTGGCAAGTTGTAGAGGGGGTGGAGGCAAACATCAAGGCTTGGACTGTGATTGAAATATAAAAGACACTCTTCTTCATCTTCAACTTAGAATTGCGTTAGGGTGGGTGGGTTTCAGCAGGCTTTTTCAGAATGGCCCATGTCCTTTGTTTGTTCTCTTCCAGTACAATCAGCCCACGGCCCACAAGGTAAGGCTCAAACCAACAAATTAATTAATTTTTGGGATTATAACAAATTGATAATAATTCATTTATCATAATTAATATCAAAGTTAATTGATTCCTTCATAATTGTTGTTTTATATATATATAATTTTTGAAAGCAAAAGAGAAACCATTGAAAATTTTGTTTGCATCATGAAAGTAAAATTATGATTAACATTAATGATGTAGATTCTATTCAATTAATTTGATTGGATTTAATTTAAACGCTGAGGTGCGTTTGGTTCAAGGAATGTTGGATTATTAGAAATCTTATATTAATTGAAAGTTAGATTACCTTGAAGATTATTGGAAATCTTTAGAAAAATGTGTTTAATTTGTTGGAATAAATTAGTGAGTATGTTATATTAATATGTTTGGTTGGGAGGAATAAATTGGTGGATATATTATTTAAAATACTAAATTTCCCTCATTTTAAATATTAATATAATATTATTTTTATTATTAACTTTTGAATAATTTCTTTTAACCCCCCAACATTTCAGATTTAGCTAAAATATCCCAACTTATACAAAACTTTGATTTATAACAAAATCACCCCCAGCACCCCAAGCCACTGCCTCTCACCGCCATTTGTCATCGAAAGTTGCCGAAAGTAGTTGAAAATCACCGAGAGTTGCCAGGAGGCTCTGATATGGCATTTTCTAGCCATATTGATGGTCGAAAACTGTCATATCAAAGTAGATCTGGTCGAAAATGGCCAGATCTATTATAGCCAAAATAGATTTGGCCATTTCCGGCTAGATCTACTTCGATATGACAGTTTTCTACCATCAATATGGCCAGAAACGGCTATATTAGATCCTCCTGGCGACTTCTAGCGGCGGCCGACGATGGTTGGCTAGCTGTTGATAGTGGTGGTTGGGTGACGGTGGTGGTATACAATTTGTTTTGAATTCAAGGATACTTTTGTCAAAAAACTTAATTAAACAATAGTAAAATTGTAAAAGCCAGATTACTATAAATTGATTTTAAAACAAGGGTATTATTGTTTAAAAATTTTATTAATAAGAGATAAAATTGTAACAAAAATAAGATAACTAAGTAATCTTACAATACCTAAGAAGATGAAGGTTATCAGATTAACTTCAATATTACCAACAGTAACCACTATTGGTATTAGAAGATTACCGGAATCTTTTATAATTACTTGAAAACAAAATGTGGTAATCAAGTAATATAAGATGACATAACCTCAGTAATCCTATATAACCCTAAACCAAATTTCCCCTCAATTTTATTATCTCTATAAGTAAGTTTAATTTACTTAGTGTAATCAACATATTTAATGTACAGAAACTGTTATACTTACAACCTCTTTTTGTGAATTTTCTCTTACAAACCTGATGTGAAAGTTTGTAATTGATCAATTCATAATAGGTTTTACTTGAGTCCTACTTAATAAATTATAATTGATAAATTATGAAATATCAAAGTTTATGAGTATAATATTAGCTGTTAATGTACTAACAAGATGAGAATGAAATTTCCAGTGAATTCTTATGTTTTGACTTTGTCAACATAACTGACTGGTTTGACTGTACGTGGTAAAATTGACTAAAAAGGAAACTTTGCATGGACGGTTAACAAAGCACGTGAAAACACGTGCAACTCTGCCCCACGTTTGCCAATTTTTTCTCTCTTTCTTTCTATTTGTCAATGTAAAATCTAAATCAAAACGCTCTGATAAATCGTGAACTCACGTGACCATACTTTTGCGACGTAAGTACCGCACGTGATACGATGTAAAAACTGATGATAAGCCGTATGCATACATTTTCCATCAACCACATTTTGTTTCTTCTTTATCTTAAGTTATTTATTAATGAAATTAGTTTTACTTGGATTAAAATTCAAATTATGATTATTAAAATTATTAGATAAAACTAAAAAAACTGAGCATTAAACAAGTTTCTATAATATATACAGATCCTTAATATTTTATTTAATTGCATGTACAGACTACATATAATAAATTAAACCTACCAATACATTTTCTACTAAAAAATTGGTAAAATTTTAATACAAATAAACAGAGTCAACTGACCAATACCTAATTATACTAATTAAAAAACAGCCAGACTATTACTATTGAAATTTTTTGACAGACAAACAGGTACAAACTCATTCAATTTGTTTTGTTAAATATTCCAACTCCTCTGCCAAAGCTTAATTAACTCAACTATCAACCCCATGTGCCACCTCTCTCTTTCATTTATTCATTTCCAAAAGTTTTGTAACTAGTGCCTCCATTTCAACCATCAGATTGCTGTAATACAGTCAATAATCTTGGTGACCAAGTTACACATGGTTGTTTGAATTAGTTTTGAAAATAATATGCAGAAAAAAGCCATACGAATGTTGGGGTGTATACATTTATGAGGGCAAACCCTAATTTCTCAAACTTTTTGGAAAAAAAAAATTTAATATTTTGTTTGTATTATTTTCAAAAAAGTGTATCCAATCCCAAGGTAACAAGTTTGATCAATCATCAAACACACTCAAAATTATTCGTGTACAGTAAGGCAAGCCAACGTTTATTAAATTTAAAACAAAAAAAACTTTTGATAAAAAAAGGTTAGAGGGGTGATGGTGATGTGAACGAAAGAAGTTGAAAAAAATGGCAGAAAAGTTGAGCGGAAACGGCTCAACCTTTGACCGGGGGAACAGGGAAATCCACACTTTTTGAAAAATAAGGACTGTACTGTGTGTATTTATGTATTCTGTGTTTTTTTTCTTACCAAAATAAAGAGATGGCCATGGGGTTTGTGTTTGTATGTAAACTGTCAACACGCAAAGAATGGATATAGTGTCGGTTCTGATTAATTTAAATTTAATGTCTTCTGTTTTAAGGATTCGATTGGATTGGATTTGACTTCCTTTGTACTCAGATAGGGACCCATCGCTTTGACTATTTTATCTGCCTGTGCCCCTATATATGCTATTCACAACCCTATGCTCTTTATACATTTTTCTCATTTTTTTATTTTTTAAATTTTCATAATCAGTGTCTGAGTCAGTTTTCATGTATTTTAGTTAATCCTTTGAGATTCTATAATTAAATAAAAGTTCTAATAACTATTCCTGTTAGTGACAGTGAGGATTTAAATTTAGAAGATCATGTTAGATCCACTTTTTACTCTTTTACTATGAAAAGAACTTGAATTTGAAAGATCACCTTAGATACTCATTTTCTCATAATATTCTTAAGGCCACTGATTCCAATCTTTTCAAGGTAAAATTTAGTGGTATAGAATTGGATTTGACGCAGGGGGTTGACTGATCAAAATATGTATGTGAATGCAAACTGAAATAGATGTATAATAATAATAATTATTATAATAATACAATGTGAATTAGAGTTTTGATTAAAAGGAAAGTGATAAGTAATCAAATATTAATGGTGGGATGCATGTGCAATAGAGACCTTTTGCTTTATGATTGATGATGATTGGGAACGAATGAGTGTATAGAAAGTCTAAGCTTTTTTTTTTCCTTAATTTAATTTACAAAATTAATACTGATCAAAACTATACTCGTCCATGCAACCTCTCTACTCATTGGTTAATACATTAATTATATAAGCAATGAGAATGACATGATGGGAATAAATATACAAACCTAAATCATAATGTTGCTTATGTACATTATTATGTTATATCGCAGTATTTTAAAAGCTAGAATCTTCACTGACCTTCCCTATCGTTTTTTTTAATTAAATACATTTAAAAACTTTGGCTAAAAATTAATATTTTGAACGTTAAAAAGGGTCTTTATAACCACCACTGGATAGCCTGATGATAAAAAACAAAAAGATGTTTCATGAGTTTCTAAGTTCGAGTCTCCATAAGCCCTAATAGGGGTGACCATTGAGAGGCTTACCTGGTCTTCAACTTTAGGTTATCAAAAGATTATTTAAGGTGTGTATAAGCTAGTCTGGACACCCTCCAATCACCAAAAAAAAAAAAAAAAAAAAAAAGGTCCCCGCATTTTATGTATTTTCAATAAGTAGCATACTGATAATATTTTAAGATTGTAAAATGTGTATGCTAGTTTTCTTCTTAGTACAATTATGTTAAATAAGAAACACGTGTATATTAATTGAGTAGAGAAATTAGTTAAAACTTCAAATCAATTAGATGATAAATTTGCATCATTAAAATTAAATGGTGATTATGATTTAGTTTTGGTCCCCTACCAGCTTGATTCCTAAATCTGTAAGCTCCTATCATTCATGGTAGATAGCCGTCCATTCTATACATTCCCCCCTGTTTTTTATACCACTACTACTAACCCATACATAAAAAATAAAAAATATAAAAATATAAGCTTACAATAATCGAGACACTTCAATGTCAACAAATTCAGTGGGAACCTGAGAGAAAATTTCCACCAACTACGTACATAAACTTTGCTCAGACTTCACACCTTTAAAAAATTCCTTCAACCACATTTTCTTCTCATTTTTAAGCTCCCTTCTTGTCTCTCTCTACCACCTCCCTCATTTAAGTCTTCTGGGTTTTTCTCTCTGTTCATTTCCTTCTTCTTCTCCCATTTGTTGTTTTCTTTCCTTCTTTGTTGCTAAGCATTTTCTTGTTAATGGTCACTATTTGTAATCTTCATTTATGTTTCTCTTTGTTGTGTGATTAGCTCTGTTTATCTTTGGTGTGTTCAAGATCTAAACAATTCCATATCTTCATTCTCATGGATCTTGTTAGTAAACACTACATGATCCATGGCGCAGAAACTCTTTCTCCGATTACAACCCCAAGTAGCTCGATCTTTGGCTCACATTTACATTCCTCAGGTACCAGTTTTCCCATTATAGCCATTGCCATTATAGGAATCTTAGCCACGGCTTTCTTGCTAGTGAGTTACTATATCTTTGTCATCAAATGCTGCCTCAATTGGCACCGTATTGATCTCTTAAGGCGATTCTCTTTATCGCGAAGGGGAGGACCTGAAGACCCTTTAATGGCGTACTCTCCAGCCATGGAAGCTCGAGGGCTAGATGAGTCTGTGATAAGGTCATTGCCCATATTTCAATACAGTAAAGGCGTCAACAGCAAAGAACTGGGAGAAAGAAACTTTTGTGAATGTGCAGTCTGTTTGAGTGAGTTTCAAGAAGATGAGAAGCTAAGGATAATACCAAATTGTAGCCATGTTTTCCACATTGATTGCATCGACGTTTGGCTTCAAAGCAATGCAAATTGCCCACTTTGCAGAACAAGTATTTCACCCACAACAAGATTCCCCATTGAGCGAATTATCGCACCCAGTTCCACTCCACAAGATCCAAATCCATACACTGAAAATGTCGTAAGCAGCGATGAGGATTATGTTGTGATTGAACTCGGTACTCATCACTCTGTGGATCAAACGTTGCTTGCAACACAAGAAAGATTGAATTCAGGAGAATTATCAGGGCTTTCAATTAGTCCTCCTTTGCCACCGCGAAAGTTAGAACAGAGACTTGTTCATAAAAGGGCGAGGAAGTTTCATAAGTTGACGAGTATGGGAGATGAATGTATTGATATTAGAGACAAAGATGAGCAGTTTGCAATAGAACCCATTAGAAGATCATTTTCAATGGACTCATCAGCTGATCCCAAGTTCTATTCAGCAATTCAAGAAGCTTTTCAACAAAACAGGCAAGTCAGCGAAGTCAGCCCCATTGAAGGTTGCAGTAACAGAGTTAGAAGATCTTTCTTTACCTTTGGTCATGGCAGGGGATCCAAAAGTGCAGTTCTACCAGTTCATTTGGAGCCATGAAAGAAACATTAAATTTATTAGTCTTTTTTTTTTTTTTTTTGTTTAACATAGAGATTTTAGCTGTGTTAGGAAGCTGTAGAATTGGCGATATAGTTATATTCAACTGAAAATTTTTATTAGTAATTTTTTATTTGAATTGGTTAGAGGCTGGTCCAGTGTATTCTCAATGACTTACAGCCATTATTGTGAACATCATTGCAGAAACTAGCACTTTTCTTTTCTTTATGTATAAAGAGGATTGAATTACTTTCTTTTCTCTGATTGAATCTACTTATTGTCTTATTGTTGGTCTAGAGACTCTAGACAGACAGAATTAAAGGGTTTTACAGAAGAAAACTAAAATTCCCACACCCCACCCCCCCCAAAACAATTACATTGATTTTGGGTGCAAAGGGGGGTCTTTTTCAATTGAAACAATCATATTGCCGCCAACTTCTACTCCCAAATTAATAATGGTGGTGTTCTGTAGATAAGGTATGTTTGGTGATGGTTGGTAATGGTCACTGTTCTATGTAACTAAACTACAGTATTTCCAGCCTGTTGGAATCGATTATTTTTCTATAAAACAAAATTTTCAAATAATCATTAAGCAACTCTTCATATGCTAGAGTCAACCCTCTTTTTTTTTGGAATCCTGAATGGTCCTATTGCAACTCTCAAGATGCTTCAACAATGAATCAGTATTTTGAATCAACTGATAGTTTACCTGGTCAATTCAAGGAGACAAAGTCTCTGTCAAAGCTTGTTTAGTATATAATTATCTTACCCTGCTGTTTTTTTTTTTTTTTTCCTGAGGTGTGGAAAATGAATGCAGGAATGATATGGGGGAGATCAGTTGTAAATGAACTGTTGGATGATTCGAAACCTTGTGACAAACAAGGATGCAGCTTCTTCAAGGTTTCAAATTTCAATAAAATAAAAACAAGAGCCTTGTTTAACTGATAAGAGAAGTAATGAGGTATAAAATATTGTATAGAAAATATGTCTTTCAAATAGTCAATCCCTGGAAATATGATTCTGAATCCGTAATCTTCGCAGACACAATCTCTGAATTTTCAGTTTAAGTTCCTATGAATCCCAAAACCCAATAATCTTTTAAAATTTATATAAACTTCAAACTTATTAGATTGAATTATTATTAAATTCATTTGCATATACAATTTTCAAATGTAAAATCAACCATTTGTGGGCACCGTCAGCTTGCAAATTTATAAATGCAAGTGTGGCTAAAGACTAAAGTATTAATTGATGGAACAAGTAGTGCATAGTACTCTAAAATAAAAAAAATATTAGGTAAATGAAGTTGAATAAAACTAATACTCACACGTTAAACTCAACTTCCAAATTTATATTTCTTTTGAAGTATCATATACGATTGGTGGGGTTTATGTCAATTTACGTATACCTCAACTAATTTCTTAAAACTCTGAAATTATAGGTTGAGTGAGAGTTTCAGTAGTTATTCCTATTAGCATCCGAAGAACTCAATCTCAAGATTTCTTGATTGGAGTATCATATCGTATTCAAATTTATTTGGCAATCCTAAGGGGGGGTTTGGTTCAGGGAATGTTGGATTACTAGGAATATTAGATTACTAAAAAGTTAGATTACCTTGAAGATTACTGTGAATCTTTAGGAAAATGTGTTTGGTTAATTAGTGGGTATGTTATATTAATATGTTTGGTTGGAAGGAATAAATTGGTGGGTATGTTATTTAAATTACTAAATTGTCCTCTAATTAAATATTATTATTATATTATTTTTTAATATTGATTATTATTTGGATTATTATAACCCTCCTGCATTTAAAAACTTAGCAAAAACAACCCCATAATAAAAGTTTGGAAAATCAACAAAGCACCCCCATTAACCCAGCCACTACTGGCAACCACTGTAGGCGGCCGACAGTGGGCAACCTAACGGCGCACGGAAGGCAGGAAATGACCTTCGTCCGTCGTATGGCCATTTCCGGCCAGAGATCTGGCCGAAAATGGCCAGACGTGACAGATTTGGCCGTTGACGGCTAGATCGACGGATTAGGCCTTTGACAGCCAGATTTGGTCGGAAATGACCATATTGGCACACAACGACCATTTTCAGCCTTTTGTGCACTGTTTCGATTGCGACTGGCCGCGGCGATGGTTGCCGGCGATAGGCAGTGGCAGGTGGGTGGGGGTGGCGGCTTGGGTGGGCTGCAATTTGTTTTGAATTCAAGGGTAATTTTGTCCAAAAAGTTAATTAATTGGGGTGAAATAGTAAAAGCCATATTCATGTAAATAAATTTAAAAATAAGGGTATTATTGTCTTAAAATTTTATTAATAAGGGATAAAATTGTAATAAAAAAAAGATTACCTTAGTAATCTTAGAATACATAAGAAAATGGAGGTAATCAGATTACCTCCAATATTATCTACAGTGGTTATGTAGGATTATTGGGGTTAAGTCATCTTATATTATTTGATTCTCAGTTTGGTTTTATCAAGTAATATAAGATTCCGGTAATTTTCAAATACCAATAGTGGTTACTGTTGGTAATATTGAGGAATCTATTATCTCCTTTTCTTAGGTATTGTAAGATTACTTGGGTAATCTTTTTTTTTTTTTTTTTACAATTTTCCTTTATTAATAAAATTTTAGGACAATAATGCCCTTATTTTTAATTTATTTACATGAATCTTGCTTTTACATTCACCCCATTTAATTAATTTTTGGACAAAATTACCCTTGAAATCAAAACAAATTTCAACTTACCCAACCACCATCCCCCCCACCTGCTGCCGTCTCACCAACCAAACCACCGCCGACTGTCGCGGAAGTCGCCGAAGTCACCTGGAGTCGTTGTGAGTAGCCCACTATGACTGGGAGGCCCAATATACGTTTCTGGCCATGTTGAGGTCAAAAAGGCCATATCGAGAGCAGATCTGACCATTTCCAGCCAGATCGATAGTCTGGCTGAGATCTGTTATGGCCATTTTCGCCAGATCTAGCTATAATTGGCCGTTTTCGACCATGCATATGGCTAGAAACGGCCATATCGGAGCCTCATGGTCATAGTGATCTACTCACAGTGACTTTCGGCGATGGTTTGCGGTGGCGGCAAGGGATGGGGGTGATTTTGTCATAAATTAAAGTTTTATATAAGCAGGGTGTTTTAACTAAATCTGAAATATTGAGGGTTAAAAGAAATTATTCAAAAATTAATAATAAAAATAATATTATATTAATATTTAAAAAGAGAGTAATTTAGTAATTTAAATAACATACCCACCAATTTATTCCTCCAACCAAACATATTAATATAACATACCCACCAACTAACCAAACATATTTTCTTAAAGATTTACAGTAATCTTCAAGGTAATATAAGATTCTAGTAATTTAATATTCTCAGTAATCCAATATTCCGTGAACCAAACGCCCCTAAATGTAATAATTCTTTTTTTTTTTCCATTCCTTATTTATTTTTTTAATAAAAATAGAACAGAATGCTTACGCTCCTAAACTTACTTGAGATAACTAAATTATCCCAAAACGAACTTCCGCTCCCTTATCATACCAAACTCGATTCATTGTCATCTCCCCCAAGTGGAGAGCCAGAGACGATAATCAAGCATCAACAATGAAGATAATGGTGGCCATAAAACGAGTTGTCGACTATGCCGTGAAGATCAGAGTGAAACCCGACAAGGTAATCATCAATCAATCAATCAAAAATTGAATCATTTATTAAAATAATTATTTCTTAATCTGGGTTGGGTTTGCAATACAGACGGGAGTTGAGACCAACAACGTGAAGATGTCGATGAACCCATTTTGCGAGATAGCATTGGAGGAAGCTCTCAGGATCAAGGAATCAGGGTTAGCCTCCGAGGTTGTTGCTGTCAGTATGGGCCCCTCACAGTGCGTGGATACTTTGCGGACGGGTCTAGCTATGGGAGCTGATAGAGGGATTCATGTTGAGGCCACCTCCGTGCTGTATTCGTTGACTGTGGCTAAGATTTTGAAGAGTCTTGTTGAGGTTGAGAAACCCGGTTTGCTTTTTCTGGGAAAACAGGTTTGTGTTTAGTTATATTTCTGATGATTTGGGCTTTCTTTGATAAAAGAAATTCACGTATAAGATAAATTTTCTTATTATACAGATTGTTGTGTAGGCAATTGATGATGATTGCAATCAAACAGGTCAAATGGTTGCGGGGCTGCTCAGCTGGCCACAGGCTACCTTTGCTTCTAAGGTTGGTCCAATTGTAAAAAAACATTTTATTTTATTTTTTCTGTAAAGAAATTTAATACATTCAGGATAGCATAAAACATTGTTGAATCTTTATATCAGTTGTATATTTCTTGGATTTTGGGTAGCTACTGCTGTTGCCTTCGATTGATTGATGAGTATGTATGCTTGGTTTAGAAAATTTACCCTTTTACAATATTGCTGTATTCAAAGTACATCTACAGTATCATACCACCGTTCAATCCTTCTGCAGCTTTGTTGTCATGTTCATAAACAATTGCTTGAGATGCTTAAGTAGAAGTACCTGAATGTACATTTAAGTTTAAAAGTTTAACGATTGTTTCTGTGCCCACCTAAGCAACAAAAAAAAAAAAAAAAAAAAACTAATTGCTTGTGATTGCTACAGTTTTCCTCTTTGACTACCATGTTTTGAGATTGTATTGGTTATTGGTTTTCTCATTTATTAGTATGATTGCTCTCCAGCTGTTGTTTTGGTTTCTTTGTTTCTTATTTATTTGATTCTTTAGATAATTGATTTACTGCTGCTCTTTAGTAGGTTGTTTTGGACAAGGAGAAACAAGTAGCAACTGTGGATAGAGAAGTAGATGGTGGTCTTGAGACACTATCGTTAGACTTACCTGCGGTAATCACGTAAGTATTTGTGCAACCTCGGACTTCTAATATTCAAACATTGGGGCATGCTGTGGTCGTTTAATATGTTTTTGGTCCTCAAAACCATCCTTTCAATAATGAGAATATGTACATATACACACACCAAAAAGCAGTTTTTGGAATCAGTGGAAAACTATGAGAGGTGGGATGTTTTAGAATAGCAAGTTTTCTGGGAGCAGAAATTTGGTCTGTTGGGAACTGAAAATGCAGCTTTTCCAAGGGCTTGTCCATATTATATATGCATTGGGAATTATATGTGGATGCTTCAGTTATATTTCATAGAGGTTTATTTTCTGTTGTCACCTTCTAAATAGATTGTGATATTTGATTCATACAAAATGATAAAGTAGTAGAAGATTTCTTCACATCATTATTATTGTGGATTATGTCTTAATTACTAATTGATTTGAAGAGTGAACTTCCTTTTGGATTTTTTATTTTTTATTTTTTATTTTTTATTTTTTATTTTTTTTTTTGTGAGCTTTACTAATGCTTTAGTTTAAGAAATGGAGTATAAATCCTTTGCAGAGATAAAATTTTGAAATTCTTTTATATTGTAGGAGCATGCATACAACAAGTAATTAGTAAAATATTACAACATTATAAATATTTGATTAGAGCTTTGTGGCAATATAATTATTTTAACTTTTTTTCAGTTAAAAATATTTGGTGTTCAACTCTGTTAACTTTCAATTGCAAACTGGTTGGATTGACCACATGCCCTGACACACTCTATCCAGGGCCATACTTTTGGAAGTTGTTAAATAGAAACCAGGTCTTTTTTCTCTACTTAGTACCAAATATGTGGGTCTTTCTAGGGATGAGGAGGATTGTTAGTTAGCCAAAATCATTGTGCAGAGATAATGGCTGGACAATATTGAACTGTTGAAAGAAAATATGTAGCTAGCTTGCCTAGAATTCTGTCTTATCCAGTGGATGACTGTTGAATATCTCTGTGGATCTGGCTCCTGTATCCAGTGTTTCTGGCAAGATAAACAACCATATATGATTAGGTTGAGTTTTGAGGAGATTTTGCCTGATACCATCATGTATTTTGACTTGGAGAAAGTGGTTTGCATGTGGACCATCTATAGGAAGTGTTGTATTACACAGGATCTGGTATCGATGATTTATGTTGGTGCTACATGAACTGAATCAAGAACACAACTATTATTTTGAATAATGAACCATTTTAGAATACAAAAATAGTTTATTGAAGAACACAAGTTCAGAAAAACAGACCATCTTCAGTTCTTGAAGTTATTTCTGAGGTTGAGACTTCAACTCAAGGTTGGTCCAAAGCAGTTTAGTAACCACTTAGAGGAAAATGGTAGTTTGTGATATTCTCTTTTCAAGCCTCCATCCTGATGTTTTTGAGTTGTGCAGTATTAGGTGTGAAGCGCAAAATTGTATTTAGTGTATCTGACTTAATTATAAACATGGACTGTTATTATGACATATTTTGAATTCTAATTAAAACATATTGAACTTTTTGTCTCAAATTCTTTGAAGCTTTCATTTTTTGGACAGTGCAAAGTGGACTACAAAATGATCATTTAATTTTTTAATGAGGCTATTATTTGATATAACAACTATCATTGCAGGTTCAATAAATTTATTGAATGCATATTTTTGAGAAGTGTTTTAGACAGTGTTTTATTGAAGTTACTTATTTTTCATTACTTCGCTGATTATGAGATTGATTGTTGGTTCAAAAGACTTTTGCATGAAAATAAAAATCTTTCCTTCTTTCCTCTGAAGTCTGTTCAACTCATAAGATTCTTGATGTTTATCCTTTTGTAAGAGGGGAAGAAATGTTGGAACTGCCTGTTAGAATCTACATTAATCCTCTTCCTAAAATGCATTTGTCTGAATGAGTTTGTTTTTGTATGATTCCTTTTTGACATTAATGACTTGTGATGCAGGACTGATTTGAGATTAAACCAACCAAGGTATGCAACACTTCCCAACATAATGAAGGCAAAATCAAAAGTCATTAAGAAATACACTCCACAGGAGCTGAATGTGGACATCAAATCTGATCTGGAGGTTATTCAAGTGACTGAACCTCCCAAGAGAAAAGCTGGGGTTATTGTTTCTTCTGTTGATGAGCTGATCGACAAGCTCAAAAATGAAGCTCATGTTATTTAATTCTCTTTTGAAATTTCTCAAATAACTTTCTGTCAAGGAAATGCAAATATACAAGCAAACTAGCATCCAGTTCAATAACTTTCTGTCGAATTTGACGAGTCAGTCATTTTTCTATACAATCAGATAATGTTTGAGTCAGATAGCATGAGTCTTAGACTATGTAGAGTTTGTTTTTCTTTTGAGTAGATTGTGGATAGTATTTTGGCTCTGAGTATGGTCATTAATGAAATCAGGTATGAAAAAAATTGCATTGAAAATCAAGAAAGGTGGCTGTCTGTCAGTTAAGGACTTTCTGCAGAAAAAAGTTGTGAATTTAAAATTTTTAAGATAATGCACTGACACTTTTGATTGCGTGTACTCAAAGATCTCAAGGGCCCAATAATTCAAAGTCTTATATCAAAGGACATGCAATTTAATGGTGTTTGGTAGGCTGATTCACCCACCATCACCATCGCCTTGACCGTGCGTGCTTGATTGTTGACGTCTTCCAAATATTTCTTATTGGCAGTCTTGCCTAATCTGATAACGATTATAGCACTACCGTCTGCGATAGTAAATTTACCTTTAATCAAAGCATATAGGAGGCATTTGATTCCCATTCTTAAAAGTTTCAGAAAATGATTCATTCAGAGTCAACGCTTTTGAATGGCCAGTTATTTTTTAGTTTTTTTCAGACTAATTGGTAGTAAAGTAAAATGTGATGAAATTTCATTAACTTAAATTACATCCAGTTAAAATAGGGATTAATTTTAGTACACCTCATAACTTCTAAGTGAGTTGGCATGATTCGGTGGATCTTGGTTGTAAAAAGTCGGGTGAGTCAGCCCAAAAAGGGAAAACATCGACTGGGCTACGCATATAATCATGCGGCGGCGCACAACCTAATCCTCCCACGTGTTCCCTATTTTCACATCTCAATTCCCATTTCAATTCCAGCTCCAAATCTCAGATGAAAAGACATGGAGTCATTAGACGACGATTGTAATTACTTGGATTATCTCGATTCAATCCTCATCGACCAAAACACATGTCCCGATCTCTTTTGGTCCAATCCAAGGTATTGCCTTTTCTTTTTAGTTTTTTTTTTTTTTTCCCATCAAATTTAGTGCTGTTAGTTGGGTTTTGGTGTTGATTCCGTGATTTGCAAATAAAACAGGGGGAGCGTGGGGAATGATTTATCATCATCTGTGTTGGTGTCACAGGAACAAGAAAATACACGCAAGAGGTAATAAATATTTATTCTTGCATATTATAATGGGTTTAATTTTTTTTGGTAAATATATTTTCTTTGTTGTATTGTTGTTGTACAGGGCACGTAATGATTCATGCAGGCGGCCGGGAACCAAAGCTTGCCGCGAGAAATTGCGGCGAGAGAGATTGAATGACAGGCATCTGTTAATCTTTCTATTTATTTTTTTAATTGTTTAAAGCAAGCATCTATGTATATAACTTAATTTTATCTATGCGTTTGTGAAGGTTTCTTGATTTGAGCGGTATTTTGGAACCTGGGAGACCTGCAAAAACTGATAAACCGGCTATACTTGATGATGCAATTAGGGTTTTAAACCAATTAAAAACTGAGGCCCAGGAGCTGGAAGAAACTAATGAAAAGTTACAAGAAGAGATTAAAAGTTTAAAGGTCAGTCGATCTACTTTGCTGCCCTGCTTTTATGTCATTGAGTTTTTTGTTTGTTTGTTTTTTTTTTTAAACAACTGTGGATGGATATCAATTTTATCATTCATGTTTCATTTTTTGTGACTCTTTGTTGCTGTAGCTTTGTTATTAGATTTGAGTTGTGTGTAATGACTTAGTAACTAACTGTATTTTCTTTTGAAATTGTAGAAGTAAGCATGCATGATGTATATTTAAGATCAATCTGAACTTGGATTGGTATTAATGTTCAGACTTTATCTGCGCCAAATCTGATCTGTTAACCATCTTAGCTGCTAGAAAATGGTAGATACAAGGTCTGGAATTCAAAGAAATTGTGCAGTTGTGGATAGATTGGACTAGTGCATAAAGTTGGATATACCAGGGTAGTGATAATAGAATATTTTGAAATATATGCATTCTTGATGACCCGAGAGTAGCCATGATAGAATTGAGATGACATAGTGTTAATTTAGATGGTTTGGCGCTGTTGAAAGTGATTGAGAAACTAACCCAAAATTCCATGGTAGAGAAGATCAACAAGTATACAGAGTCGTGTCAAACCTATGATTAGGTGATGTGAGCTTTAGTAAAACATGATCCCTATAGATGCTGATGCCTAATATTTAGTGTATAACAATAATGTAAGGAGACATTTATGAAGCATGCCAAACAAATATAGGCTTTGATTTGACGCTGGACATATCAAGCCTAAATTCAAGCTTCTGGGTTGGATTCTGTATTAGAAAGACGATAAAAGGCATGAACAAGTTTATACTAGTTGAAAGAGGTAGATGTCTATGTTGTTAACGGTTATTTAATTTGTCTGCTGTTAGAAGTGTGGGACTGAATTCAAGTATCAATATACTCCTCATTTGACATGCTTAACTTTCCCTCTTCGGGGTTCTTTCATGATCCATTTTTTGAACATTGGACATGCATTGATTACAAGGTGCTTCTACAAGATTTCATTCAACATGGCCATAATTTATTGATGTTAAGTATGTTTACATGCATGATTAGGATATTCCAGGTACTATTGTCATACTTTTCCTTTTCTGGTTAGTCATTAGTTCAGTGAGGCAGATTTAGACCTTTTTGGGGTAATCTAAGTAGAGGTTATTGCTATTACAGTCTTAAATCTGTTCTATAATGCTAGCCTTGAGAAGCCTGGATATTCATTAACATGCCTGGACATTTCAAATATTATTTAAAAATAATTTTTTTTTTTCATGAGGCATACTGCCTACTTGCAAAAGACAGGTGTTAAGCAACAGTGGAAATCGGGGGCATACTTGATTCTCTTTGATATCAATGCAATTATGACCATATTAATGCTGGCATTATATATATGCTGAATGCACATCTTTGTTTATGTCCATGCTGGATAATTCAGTTTGTGAAAGTTGTAATTTAGTCTTGGGGCAGATGTATTTTACAGATTAGTATGGAATCTTTCACACTAATTTGTGATCTTCTACGTAAATAATGTTCAGGAAAGAACAGTAAAATTCAGCTATTAAATTGCTTGGAATTGTGAGTTTAATTTGAATTCTAGATATTGTAGTGTAGAATTAAGGCGTAGGATTTTCGCATACTTTCTCATGTATGTGATTGTGTAAGTAAAGAACCAAGTGCTCTGTATTAACGTTTTGTCCTGTACTACATCTACAGTCTGAGAAGAATGAACTTCGTGAAGAGAAACTCGTTCTGAAGACAGACAAAGAAAAGATTGAACAGCAGTTGAAAGCTAGGGCCCTTTCAACTGCTGGTTATATGCCAGCCCACCCAGCGGCGTATCATGCTGGGATGAATAAGATGGCTGTATTTCCTAGTTACGGTTTGATCCCCATGTATCAATATTTAACTCCATCTTCGCGTGATACATCTCATGATCATGAACTCAGGCCCCCTGCAGCGTAGCTTTTTTCCTTGGCAGTTGGCAACCTGCCTAATTCAAGTTATCTGAATAATTTTTAGATGATCTTAATTGTTACCTTCCAAAAAGTTCTGTTGTCCTCCAAGGTGTACATACTATTGCTGGTTCAATTTGCCTGATTCTTTTATGTAACTATTGGCAAATGAATGGAAGGGGGTCTCCATGATTTCATTCTAATACCTTTGTTAACAGCTCTTTTTGGTCTGCAGTTAGATCTGAGAAAGGATGTTTACTTATTGCAGGTAATCCACACTAATCATAAGTATCATATTTATAATCGAAAATAAAGATTTAAAGATGAATCTTTTATATTGATATTTAAGGGGTTGGGTTTCTTTTATGATCGTGTTTATCTACAATCTACAGGGAAGTTAGCTTTAATATCTTTCCTGATAGTGACAGGTTCGCATACTGGAGACATGAAGTCAAACTTCTTGTCTTTTGAGAGACAAATATATTGAGATTAAAATTTCATTTCAAATATCGCTTACGTAGAGCAACAAAGCTTAACACAGCTTCCCCACTATATGAATAATGGAAGTATATTGAAATTGCCCAAAACTACTAAAACTCTTATTTTGACTATGCCCGCTGCTTCTATTCATCTTCTTCAGTATGACATCCCTTCGCTTGTCAGAGAAATGATTTTTCTTTATGGTTCACCTTGTGGTATCTCCCTTTCAGTTGAAGTGGTTTTCTGTAGTTTGGGGTTGTTCTCGTCGTATGTGGAAGAATAAGAATTCCCTTCTGTTTTGATGTGAGCTTCCTGATCACCTTCTTTGCCCCATAATAGCAAATACAAACCAAAGATGACAATAGCTGCACCTAGTATGCTGAGCAAGAGTCACAAGTAACCTTTTAATGCAAAGTCTTTAATGAAGATTGAAAGCTACAAAATGAGTGTGGGCAAATTTACCTTCCAGTGTAAAGCTGTTCACCAAAAACAAAGTATGCTAGAGCTGCCACTAATACCGTAGAAAGGGGGTTGAACATGGTCACAAAAACTGGCCCTCTTTCTTCTGTGCACCATAGTTGAAGGAAAATGATTAAACCAGACGCCACCACTCCCTGCCATTTATAAACCATAATCAGAACTCTAATTAATTATAAGAAGACCGAGTCTTGTTAAATACATTATAAGGCTATCCGGATACTGCCACATACACCATAAATGGTGGACCAGAAGTCGATATTGAATCCAATCCTCCAAGCAGCTGGTTTGTGTTGGATGATGACTGTGAAGAATGCTGATTGTGATGCCCCAAGAAAGCACATCCATGTTGTCAGTGATAGTTGAGCGGGATATCGCTTCAATGTGAATGCCTACATGTTACCATAGAAATTAGGATCTATTATTAATTCTATATATCCACCTATTGAAGAAGTCGCTGCTACAACTTTATACGGTTGTTATCAGTTCAAACATTTGAGTTCAGATTGTTTTCTGTTGTCTGCTAATTTAGAATGCTATTAGCTGCATGCGTCAAAGTGATTTCTTATTCTATCATAGAGAGTTTTGCGGGTGAACTTTTTTGTTATTTGTTTTGTTTTGGAATAGAAAAATTAAGTTTTGATTGAGTTGGAAATGAACCTGCATAATGTACCAAAGAGACCAAGTTACACAGCTTGCAATAGTAAGAATTGAGCCCTTCAACCAGTGCTCATGGATAGCAGTGTTTCCTTCAATATGGATGTGATGAGAATGCCATAGATTTCTCATGATAGGGCCCTTGTATATTGTCATGATCATTACACCGGCCAAGGAGATCATTGTTCCTAGAAGTTTTGCAATACCTCTAGAATTTCGAAGATCAAGTGTCTCTAACCTGTAGATCGGCGATGGTCAGATACTTACACACTTGATTTCTTTATGAAATTTAGATGGATATTTGTATATTGATAACAATGGAAGCCAACCTGAGTAAAATCGCAGTTACAAAGGTTAGGGAAGCTGCAGTGTTGATCACTGATGCAACAAATGTTGGAGAGGTGTACCTCAAGCTTGCAAAGTACATGTTTAAAGTCAAACCGACCCTGCAATCATAAAACAATTTAGCCTTGTAATTTGTAGTTTAAAGTTACTTAGATCCATAACTTTTACTAGTCCTTACCCGAGGAGTGAGAGAATAAATATCTCCACAAAAAGAGGTATTGTCAGCTTTGGAATTGTTTTTCTGCGATAGATCAGAAAGGAAGGATCAGCACTATGCATAAGGAAATTAAAATATTGAAAATTTCCTCAGAAAGATCATCAACTCAAATTTTTTTCGATGTTTATAGCTATAGCCAACTTAATGATCAGCTAAACCAAATCTGTAACTTCAGCATTTTGTTATTACCTATGAACATTTTATAGAAATTTAATGTGTACCTTTCAAGGAAATAGGCAAAAGGGAACATGACAATGCCTGCGACGATATGCCGGTAGGTAATATAGACATGAGGATTCATGCCATGATTGAAAGAAGCTTCTGTGATAAAATACAGAAAAGTGTAGCCAATCTGAGAAATAACCATAAGGAGGTGTGGCTTGAACCTCATGTAAATGTCCGAGAGGGAACTTGCTTTAAGTGCCATAGCCTCCTCTTTACTTCTTCACAAGCTGCAGGAAACAATAACATGCACTTGTTAATATAGAAGATGAATGAGAATGATGGAGGAGTTAGGCTTCTCGATTCTTTTTGCATGTTGTGTTAAGTATCGTGTTCCAGATTAAATTCCCTTCAATATACTGATAGGTGAACATGACTTCATGTTAGAGTAGATATGGGCAGAAAGAACTTATTCCGAAAATTCCCTTACCAAACTAATATTATAACTTGTTAAACTAAATAACACTATTTTATCTATATATCATCATGAAGCTCATACTCGTTTATGATGATTCCTTTTTCAGATTAAAAATTTGATGCTTAGTCAGTTATTCTGAATTAGTGGACTACTATGAATTGTTTGCTTATTATCTTATGTACTTTTAATGGTGGACTGTCAACTACATTGCAACTTGAGTTTGTGGATCGATGCATGAAATATAATCACATCCCAGAATAATCTCTTTTCGGATACGTCTCAGCGCTGGTACATATTCTATATTTTTTTTAAATTCCATTTTAATCAAAAAAAGTCTTCTGTCACACATTAATCCTGCAGCTATAAAGTTTTCATGATGATAATAAAACCTGGGGGAAAATTCATGGTGTTTATCAAACTTTTCAGAAAATCAATCAGTATTGAGGAAGATACTTAAATACTGTGCTTGCAAAATGCAATGGACAATTTTATGCATTTTTTTTCCGAATTTCTGAGCTGCAAAATTTAGTGTTAACTGAAACTGAGAAGTGAGAACCTATCTTAAACAAGATACTTAAATTAAAGACGTATGAAAGGCATCAAATTACAGTCATTTTCTTTAATATCCTGATGTTTTCATGCAATNGAAAATTCATGGTGTTTATCAAACTTTTCAGAAAATCAATCAGTATTGAGGAAGATACTTAAATACTGTGCTTGCAAAATGCAATGGACAATTTTATGCATTTTTTTTCCGAATTTCTGAGCTGCAAAATTTAGTGTTAACTGAAACTGAGAAGTGAGAACCTATCTTAAACAAGATACTTAAATTAAAGACGTATGAAAGGCATCAAATTACAGTCATTTTCTTTAATATCCTGATGTTTTCATGCTATACATAAAGCATATATATCATTCTCATTATATTCCTTCAAACTTTTTGTGGGTTTATAGTCTTAACATATTCTTGCTACTTCCCCAGACTTCTCTTAATGTAACTAAATATATGGAAATGCTTTCATCATATATAGAATCTAATTGCTTGAATTTGAGGTAATAGATATTGATCATGATTCTATTAGCAAGGTAAAGGAATATTTCAATTTTTGATAGAATTGAATATAATATATTGATTAATATTCCTACTTTATGCCACTATATAAGTGACCACAAAACCTGCATCAAAACTAAAGAGGTGTTCAACTTCTGTAACATCAAAGAACATGTTGATTATATCTGCAATTTGTTTGATTCTCAGGACCACTTTAATGAACCCCCTGATTGAGTGGCTGCTAACAAAAATGTTCTGCAGACAGAATGAACAAATTCATCTTTTGTTTCACTTTTTCAAAAGTGTCAGGTACATATCAGTAAGTATATAAATATATAGAACGTGATCAAAATAATATGCTAAAAATGTAGAAATAAAACATAATAAACAACGTAGAGCTGAATTAAACTAAAGAGTAGATGGGTAAGAGATGACTTTACTTTAATCTAATGGCAGAAGTATCCCAAATAGTGCAACTTGAACAAGCGGTGGTTTATTGCCTGCAGTACTGTGCTTGTAATAGCTTCTTTATTCTGAATCCAGCAATGCATGCCATGTATAAAAACCAAATCGATCCTTAGAGAGTGAGAAAGAAAGTGATAGAAATTTGGAATTCACGCCTGTATTTATAAACTCACAAATAAGCCATATGTCTAAAAGCGAAGGCCATTTGTCGCCACAAGCCAAATCAGATTGCCACCATTTGAGACAGGTCAGCATGCATGCTTATCATTTTGTCCAGTGTTTAATAGTTGGTAGCACCAGAGATGCATGGTCAACCTTTGGACCGTGGCATTTACTTTGTTTTAGTTTATTGCTGAATCAATGGTTGGATGTTAGTGGAATTTTAGGAAGATGATTGAACCAGGTCGATAATATGAACAAGACTTCAACTATGTTTTTCATATTTGTCATCAATCAAATGGAGACTGACACTCCCATTTAATTCTGTTTCTCCATCAAAGCCTGAGTAATCCCCTGCAAGGTGGTTCATATTTCCTGCAAGAAGTTTTCAAGGAGTTTAAAAATTATAGATATTTGACATTGTTTAATCATTTTATACTTATATAACAAATTATTATCTTGTATTAACATAATTATTCGTAAACTCTTTTATATACGATAATTATGAATGAATTATGATGGAGATTTGAATTATCATTTTTTATGTCGATATCATAATCTCCTAGATTCAAATTCAATAATCAATCTGATTAACACTTTGATTCATATAAAGCGACATAGATACGCGGGTGTTAAGGTAAACTCAACAATTTTTTTATTTTTATTTTTATTTTTTATTTTTATGAATAATATTTATAAATTGTTCATATGAATTAATACGAAATTATTATTTTGTTATCAAATAATTCATTCTCGATCATTGAAAATTTATTAAGTTAATTTTTTATATGAATTTTTTTATCTTCTTAAAAAATCATGTACAATAAGAATATGGGAATTAAAAAGCAAAGGAGAACCTAGCAAATTCTTGGTTTCCACTTGCTTTTGTGGGAGCAGCTATTCCTTTAAATTTATTATTATTATTAATAAACACTAACATAACCCTTGCAGCTTCCCACCATCAATAATTCTCAATCCCACTCTTCATTTAAATTGAATTCCATTTTCTCAACATGAATTAGTGCTGGTAGGTTACGAGAACTAATTGATTGAAGAACCACCCAACACAGTGCACCAAGAAATAGCTTGCCTTAATTTATAAGAATGACTTAATAAAAACAAAAAATGGCGCCTTTCATCTGTTCCGCTCATCAAACAAATATATGCATGGCGATTTGATTTTGATAGTGAATGCTAAACAACTGGAAGTCAGAGGAGGGTCGGTGATTAGAGGAAGAGGGCAGTTGAATGCTGAATATAAATTGTATTATTGATGGATTATCCAGTCGAATCAGCATAAGAAATAGAAAGCAGACGAGGGTATCTGAATAGTGTCAACAAGCACCTTCTGTGGCGTGTATTGTTTGCAAGCTGGAAGAAAAGCAATGGACCCCAAGCACACAAATGGCCGACCCAGGGTTGGTTTAAAAATGATATTTTTCAAGATAAACTAATAAATAAGCCTTATTATTTCCCTTCCTTTATTAGAGTGGAAATATCGCTTAATGGCCACTCAAAATTTTCCTGATAAATGTGCTCGGATTTTGAGCTTTTTAACCCACTAACCAATTCCTTTATCGTGACCCTCAATAGAAAAACTGTATATTTGATCACAGTTAGCAAATCTTTATTCGTTAATTACTCAACCCAATTAATTGCTCAACAAGGAGGCTTGTGTCATTTTTAATTGATAAAGCTCATGTTACATATGCAACAACCAAGAAGACGACAGGAAAAAAATTGGATATGATGAATGAGGAAGTGAAAGCAATCTATGACTTTTCGAGTGTAGTAATGCTATATTCTTGTTTTCTTTCTATTGACACTATGAACAAATCAAAATTTCAGTAAGACTGATGAGTTTCAATGAGATTCAAGATATCAACAGGCTGTACATCGAAAGGTCTAACCTGCAGCTAATATCCAAAGCATAATTAGAGATGATATCGCAATTGTAATCCAGCTGAGGAAGGCCAAGGCAACTGACATTTGATATTTTTGACATTCCTCCGTCATACTGCAATGTCCCATATCATGAAAATATAGCACTGTGATGCCGCCTGCAGCACAAGCAGCAGCAAGAGATAATGTAGCTGTCACCTGTAACAATTCCACATCATATGGAACTTTACAACCATCATAAACACAAAATTGTATTGGATTTCATTAAATAGCCAAGAACAATTAAAGGGTTATGGAGACTAACCCAGTCTCCTACTACAAAGAGGCTGACTAAAACAGGATTGTGAAGGACCTTCTTTCGCATTAAGGCATATGAATCTATGAAGGCAAGCCCAAAGCTCCAAATAATTTGCAAACCCATTGAAGCAATCAGGTAGCTGCAGAAAGAACAAGATCTTCAGCATAAAATTTTATTTGTATCAAACCAAGGTTAAAAAAGCCACCACATTGTATATGATTTATAAAGTGCTCAACAGTAGAGAATTAGTTACATGGGCATCATCTCTATTTTAAAATGTATCCTTACAGAGATGTTGATTCACTAAAAATATTGATACTAACAGCTGGGTATTAAAAAAATGGTCCAAATGAAACAAGTTTTATAAACTTCAGTGCTTATAATCTTGTACATGTTTCATTAAATATATTTTTGCTGTAGAAGATAAGCCTACAAGAAATATTGTCGAAAATAAATCAACGGTAAAAGATTAGGATAGACACCAAATTTTGGAACATAGATGTAGCATCTGTAGGTGACAATATCTAATGAAAAAATTTAAGGTAGCAGGGCAACAGGACAGGTCAAAAGAAATAATCAAAATCATGATAAGAGCAATAAAGAGAGCCATTAAACATCAGCATAACATACTCCTTGCACTCCACAAAATGCCATCTGATAGATGTCCAAAAAGAGTCAACTACAAGATTAGTGGTCACAAAAACAAATTGCCACTTCAGCTCACACATTAACTAGCACTCTGATTATTCACACTACGCAGGTTTTACATCCATTTAGATGATATTCCAAAAAATCATCACTTTTTATTTAGTCTAAATCATTTTGTAAATTTATTACTCTGATTTATCATATAAAAGTCATTTCTATGGTGAGTATTATCAACATCTAATATGGTTTCAAAGTGCAAACAAGAATGCAGATATTGTCTAATATGTGAATCAATAGTGCTTGTAGTGATTGCTTTGCTTCTAAAATCGTCTCTGTTCACTAGTTTTGCTTCATACTCTACAGTCCATCATTCTATTGTTGCTGCTAGTTTCATCTTAAGAACATCAAGTATAATGGTGACTATGCCCAAGCTAATAGTCCTTCGTGACCCTGGAAATTTTTTATCAAGAAGTACATCTGATAGCATTTTAGCAGCTTATATAGTTGCTGGAAATTACCTAGCCTACAATGAATTCTGCCGCAATCTTGTCACTATAGAAGTTCTGTTTCAGTAATTTATGATCATGACGAAGAACATAACATAATGCATATAAGAAACAATATGTAACTCATAGATTCTAGCACAACAGGTTCCAAGTGTGGATGACAGAGAAGCAGAATCACAAATTCAACTCAATTTGCATCATATATGTGGCACTCAGGGTCTCAGCCTCAACATCACAATCCCTTTTGAGATGCTCCATATATTAGAACAACTAAATATGGCATTCCACTCTTCTACAGCACACAAAAGCAAAACCATTTTTTCTTATCAACATTTCTGAGTATCAAACTAAAGAGAAACACAAAAGCGGTGGAACAAGTAATTTATTCATACCATGATCAGAGGAATGTCAAGTATTACAAAACAGGAAATTGTTTCCTCTCTTTTACAAATCAATACCTGACATATATTCATCATTGCAATGGAAATAAGATAACTTTTTGTTGCAGAAATCATTTTCTTCCTCCCCATGACCATAAATCAAATGCAAGGAAATACGCTTAAATCATCAAGCAGTCAATTTCTCAAGCACCACAAATTATCATTCAATTTAAGCCATGGTAAGTGTGGAGACCTTCTTGAACAGAGAAAAAGGAATCACCACCTTGGAATGTAAAGGAAATTACAAAACTTTGAACCAAATAATCTAGAAAACTATTCACTCATTTTGCCCCAACCAATTTACTGATGAGAGACTACATTATCACAATAAACAGCTGCAGCGCAAGTAGTGTAGATAATTGAATTATTAATGTTCACTATTCAGTACAATATTGCGACTTTAACGCAATATATAAAGCATCACCAAGACAACAATTAACCAGTTATGAATCATTTATCAGGCTCAACAATACATACGAATCAAACTAATAACAAGCCAGTCAGAAATTTGATCCAATAACTTGCTTCTACCAAAAATTTCCCAATTAGTAACCGTAGATGCCTACACCAATCAATGAAACTCACTTCTGATGGATAAAATATATAAGCTGAATCTCCAATAACTTATATAAACAAAAAAGAAACATAAACTTTATCATATAAAAGAACTGGGGAAAAGTCACAAGGAAATACCAGAAAGCTGTAAAATTAACGAAAGCGGTAGTGGTAGCCATGGAAGCAATTGATCCAGCTGCAAAAACACACTGTGCGATCCTTAGAAATAGGCCAGTCAAAGTCCCGGGTGTCCCAGCAAAATCCTTCATCTTTAACCTTCAAATTCCCCCGAAAAGAAAATCTGTAACCCCTGCTGGATCAGAAAAGTAAAACCTGTAAGAAGAAACTGAAAAGGTCGAATTGGTTAGAATTTTGATGACATAACTATCGGAACAAAACTAAATATGGTTCGTAAAAGCAGTTACCCAACACTGTTACGAATTAAAGCCGTTTATAAACTGCGGCTGATCTAACTACTTCCTAGTTTATGTTGTACTTTACAGGTAAACCAACGCTACTCCACGCGCTTCTGTCACAAGTGTTCCTAAGCTGTTTTCTAATATACTGGAGACTTGGAGCGTGTTCTCAAAAATGTCTTCATTTAGAGTGGGTAAAATTTTCAACCATTGAGAATTGAATGTTATTCTATTTATTTGTTTAGTAGTTAATTAATTTTTTAAATGTTCGGTGTACAGAGGATGTTTGACTTGGTGACTCCGGATTCCGGAATTGGAAGGAGGCTTTGCCAGAGCCAGACAATTAAATTTCCTGTACTTAATATTCAATCAACCAATCATCTATAACCAGTACACGATAATGCATATTAATAGTATTACTAAGATGAAAATTAAATTAATAAAGGTATCAATAAGTCATAATTAAAAATTTCCTAAAAAGTCTGTGCACCCAATTCATTGTTTATACAACCAATATTATGATTTGAATAAGCTTGGATAGTTTCACTAGACCCATTTTATTTATTTATTTATTTTTTTTTATCACTGGGTTGTTTGGTTAATTTACGCATACTTTAATTAATCCTCTATGATTTTAAAATTATTGATTGGGTAAAAGCCCTAGTGACTTTCTCTATTAGTGTTTAGGAGGACTCAAACTAAAAAACTCATGAAACTTTTTTTTACTCTTTTGTCATCAGACCACTCAGTAGTGGTTAACTGGACCAAAATTGTCATTTGCTAATACTCACTTCATTGGGCTATAACTTTTGGCTCAAATTTCACATGAATGGAAGTGTTTGTTCTCCATTTTGCGATGCTTGACAATCGTATGCGTTAATTAATGCAGTAATCATATCAGCAACTATAGATCCAGAAAATTGTATCACTACCATAACCTTGGCCCTCATACCAGATGATAACAATATTTTCATTTGTTTTATGGGATCAACCAAGTTGAACTTTCATAAATGTTGATGTATAAAATATGTTTTCTCAACAAATGATGTACATGGCTTTGGTTGAACTGAAATTCATATTTCTTCTCATCTAGATTCATTGCCTATTAATTGTTGTCAAAATTCATTTGTACATATTTTGGTACATATCGATATGGCCCTGATGATCTGAAATATGGTATGGATGCTATAAAACAATTAATTCCTCATTATTTCACCGCAAAATACTATTATGTATATCACTCAATTTCCAATGAATACGAGGAGCTCTAAAATTTTGATCAACTCCATCATTTTTATCTACTAATAATTAAAGAATAGTGTGATGTAAATTTTAAACTCAATTTTATTGCATTTATTCGATGTAAATTTAACACTTTGATTATAGAATTGCTTAGATTATGAATATTATAAAGTTTTATGAAACCGAACCATCATATTATATGAAATCAATTTTTTTATTTATTTAAAGTTGATATATACTTGAATAAATAGTATAAATATAGAGTCAAAAGTTAATAAGGTGATAATTTCTTTTGCAACTGTTTTATTACTTACCAAGGTGGCTACATATTTAACTAGTAATTGTAATCTCTTATTATTGTCATAATCAAACTGAAACAAGCATATATATATATAAGACGTAGATGATGTATTTTGTAAAACTCGTAGGAGAGTTTAAATAGTTGCACCAAGTTTCTTCATTTATTGTTATTATTAGTATGAAGTTATAGATTTATTGTAATTGCATGAATTCATAGCCTATAATCGGCAGGACTGGGCTTCTCATGGAGTCCTTTGGAATAAAACCTACCAACATATTCACTCACTAGTACCTCTTTATACTTAGCAGGATTTTCTTCAGATATCAACTCCTTAATGGGACCATACAGCCTTGCCGGTGGAGCAAATCGTCCCGCGAAAAAGCATATTGCAGAAACTCTTGATTTACGGCTTGGGAACACTCTGTGCACATTGCTTTTGAACTTGTCATTTGATATAATCTGAGACAAATGAAGCAGTAATATATAACATAAGTGCTTAAAATATATAGAATGATTGAAAAAAAAAAAAATGTACTTAAGATTGAAAAAAAAAAAAAAAAACCTGGAGAAGATCCCCAATGTTGACCACTAAGCTTCCTGCAATGGGCTGAACATCAACCCATCGATTTTCATGTAACACTTGGAGGCCGCCTGTTTGATCTTCGGCGAGAACGGTGAGAAAAGTATTGTCTGTGTGCTTGGTGACTCCCATGGCTAACTGTGGCTCAGGGCATGCAGGGTAGTAGTGGCACACAAGGGTGCGCCCTTTGTTACATTCCATGGATATCAGGTGGTCTGATTTGAGACCAAGACCCTCAGACAACAACTCGAGAAGTGTGTCTCCTACCTTTGTAATTTCCTTTATGAATTCAATTGCTTCATGTCTGCAATTAAGTGTCCAAAACTTAAGGAAATAGTAAGCTGTGTTTTGATTATTATATCAAAGATATATAGTTATAAAACCTGGTTAAAATAACATTTTAGGAGGAAAGTGTAACTTTGACTAATGAATAAATAAGTATAAATTACCGGCATGCATCAGGCAATTCATTGGGGTCAACGTGATCAGAAGTGAGCATAGACACAGACAATGTGTCCCTCCAGTCAGCCCTTTGAGATTTAAACAAATCATAATTGCTGTTAAATCTCACTCTTCTTGCTCGATCACGTGAATAAAATTGTTTTTTCACATCAATATCTTGTTCATTAAACCTGCGAACCCCTTTTATCATATTATCCAATACGCTAATGGGTATTCCATGGTTCACAACTTGAAAAAAGCCCCACTCCTCGGATGCACTTCGAACTTGATCAACAATGTTGTGGCGTCGATCAGTGAGAAGGCCGTCAAGATCAATCACCGGCAGTCCAATGTGGGTCCGGGGGTGATCTGCAAGCTCATCGTTTGATTTTGATCGCCGGAACATTTTAGGGATGGTCACTACCCCAGAATCTACTAGTCCTTGGACACCAAGCTTGGTGTCCTCAAAAGCCGTAAGCTCTTTCACTCGATCATATTCCAACTCAGATACACCATTGTTTAAGATTTCCATTTCTCTTCTCTAATCAAGATAACTAATCTATGAAGTATGTAATTTTCTTCTCGCTTATGATAGGGTTAACAGCATGCATAGTCTCCTGATAACTATGTGTATATATATAGTTATGTACGCGGCTACCAGCAAGAATAATATTAGCCATAAAGTTATTCTCTTTGTTCAATATAATTAATTTATAGTACAGACGGCAAATTATTTGTCAAAAGAACAAATGCAAACACGAATTGTATCCTTGGTAGAATATACAAACATATGTGAGTTGCAGTCTAGAAGCAAACTTGTTGAGTCCGGGGAACAAAACAAATTTGATGTTAAATGCTTATCCTCAAGATAAACGCCTAAAAGTTTCTATCCAAATTTCCCCAAGAAACTGAACACTCACCTTGTTTTAAAGGTAAAATACAAATTAAATCTGCAAGGTAAAATACAAATTAAATGCAAACACGAGTTGTATCCTTGGTAGAATATACAAACATATGTGAATTGCAGTCTAGCAGCAAACTTGTTGAGTCCGGGGAACAAAACAAATTTGATGTTAAATGCTTATCCTCAAAATAAACGCCTAAAAGTTTCTATCCAAATTTCCCCAAGAAACTGAACACTCTCCTTGTTTTAAAGGTAAAATACAAATTAAATCTGCAAGGTAAAATACAAATTAAATGCAAACAGGAGTTGTATCCTTGGTAGAATATACAAACATATGTGAATTGCAGTCTAGCAGCAAACTTGTTGAGTCCGGGGAACAAAACAAATTTGATGTTAAATGCTTATCCTCAAAATAAACGCCTAAAAGTTTCTATCCACCCAAGAAACTAAACACTCACCTTGTTTTAAAGGTAAAATACAAATTAAGTCTGCAATTGGTGGATTCTGTTTTTGGTGGTCCTCGATTACTTATTTATTCATTTCAGAACTAAATTTCAGATGTGTTTTAGGAGTTTTCATCACTGAAAGTAGGACAAAAATGTATCAATTTCTTTGAATTTTTTTAGTAAATTACACGACGCCTTTGAGATTAACATTAAAATTCATAATAATAATTAAAAAAAAAAAGTTTGCTTGTGGAGTTTACCCTAAACCATTCTGAGATTCCAATTTCCAAAGATACCTCATCAAGCAGGAATCCAAGACGGTTAATTAGGGTCATTCCTCCTATCTTTTTCACATGAACTTCTACGTGACTTTGTATGTTGTGGGATCTTTTTCGGGTTCAACGTTTAGCCAACACAGTTACTTCTTGCTTTCATCTTAATCAAGGAAAAAGAAATCAACAAAACAGTCGGTTTCTAAAAAGGGGTGATGTTACCGCATTCAAGGAAATCATAAAGACCAAAAACAATCATGCATAATGGTACAAAAATAGTAATATAAAAACAAATTACAGGAGAGAGAAGCTTGCCCTTGGATTGTCAATAAAGCTACCTAGCCTGTCTTGAAGTTATTAATTATTTATATTTTGATAATAATTAAGACCTGGTCCAGAGGAAAATTAAAAGAAATAATTACAAACTAAGGTTAATGACAAAAGTATCTTTTTGCTATGAATCTTGACATTGTTATACAATGTAATTTAAATCAAATATCGATGGGTGAAAACCAGGCCAGTTTTTTAGGTGTTCCATAGTTGGAGAAAAAATTCAGTATGTTAAAGAGTTTCTGACATCAGTTAATATATCACCAGCCGTCTGATCATGAGATCTTGTCTCTGTTAAGGGTCTTATGTTAATTTTAAGTTCCTACAGTTTCAGGGATCAGGACACAGCAGCGGATAATTGGGATTCTAACGTGAAGTATGGACTTAATTATGCTGCGGGAAATTAACTCATCAGTGAAATGTCTAGAATCTTGTATTCACTCATGGTCCCGTACACACTTACTTTTTGGCCTTCAATTTTCTTTTGATTTGTCACAAACTTTCTCTAAAAAGAAATTGAGAAGAAGTTCCGATCAGCATATATACAAGCTACCGCTGCCTATACGAAGTTATACGAATGTCTATTGAAGTGACAATATGGCAAAATAATCCGGAGTCAAACTGCTCTTATTCTCAAACACCTGTAGAGATATCGTGTTGAGGTTGTTTTAGTGTTCTATGCATTGAAGCTGCATAATTACCATTTCTATATTTTACATGTTAGAATTACGTTAGAGATTAAGATGGACCAGTGTCGGTATCGCAGTAAGTAGAGTAGCTGAGAACAAATAAAGTAGCTGATATCGAGTGCAACTATCCTGGATTCCCGGATATTTGCGTACCCAGTTATTATAAGTACAAAAGTACAGATAACATAGAAGTTATATTAAACAACTTTGTAGTAGTTGTTTGGAATGACTGTATTATAGTAAAACAATAATACTGCTAGCTTCATTGCTTGAATTGGTCAAGGGTAGTCTTTCCATCCAGTCCCTTATATGAAAATTTGCCAAAATATTCACTCACCATAAAGTTTTTGTAAACAGGTGGATTTTCTTCTGATATCAACTCTTCCAGGGGGCCGTAGGATTTCTCGTGTACACTACTACTTCCCGTAAAAAAGCAGGCCACGGTCACCCTAGGGGCAACATTATTGGCTAAAACTCTGTGATCAACGCTCTTAAACTTGTCGTTTGAAAGAATCTGTCAGTTGGTTACATTAAATTAAAATTACTAATATATTAAGATCTTGATGACCATATAATTATACTTTTAATTGTAAAAGACTTACCTGGAGGTAGTCCCCTATATTTACCACCAAGGCTCCTGGAATGGGTGGAGCATCAGCCCACTGATTTTCATGCAAGACTTGGAGACCGCCAACGTGATCTTGCAGTAGAACAGTAAGGAATGAAGGATCCGAGTGACTGCTAGCTCCCATCGTTAGCTTTGGCTGTGGGCATGCCGGATAGTAGTGGCAGACAAAGGTGCATTTTCCAGCACATTCCAGGGCTTTTAGATGATCAGGTTTCAGGCCTAGAGCCTCCGACAATAATTCAAACAGAGTGTCTCCTAACTTTCTGACATTTTCTGCATACTCCGTTGCCGCATCTCTGCATATTTGAGTAAAAGATTGAAGCAAAAATTAAACTGGTTTAGTTTTTGTTTAATAAGGAAGATTTCAACAACTGTTACCAATTTAGGTGATAGGACATCTGGTTCAAAACAAATGCACTAAATATATTTGTATGACAAAAAAATGATATGTTTGTTTAATTCGAATATAACAGAAAACAGGACTAGAATTGCAGAAAATTTAAGTCAGAACGGAAATCAAACTTGTAGCATGGATAGAGTATCGTTAGTTTTGTTAGTATTAGGACAAAAACACAAGAAGAATAATGTCAAAATTTGAAGTAAAATTGGTTCTGTTTCAGTAAATGTTCACAGGAAACTTCAAATTGTTACTCATGCACCATTTCATCTGTCAAAGCGTTTATATTCGTTACGAAGCTGTAATCCCATCCCTTTAACAGCTTTGCATATATTGATTGTATTAAGAAGCTCAAAAGATTGTAGACATACGGAAATGAGCTCTGATTTTTGAGAGATTTCAAATCCTCGTATTATTTTAATTTATTTTCATCTTTCGCGTTTTCGTATCTTCAAAGGCGGATGCATAATTATCTAAATCCAAAAATTTTGTTGATAAAGCAATTAAAGTAATCAATCAAGATATAGGCAGAATTGAGGTTTTACCTAAGAGCAGCAGGCAGTAGCTGAGGATCAAAATTCTCAGAAGCAGACATGGAGAAACTGAGTGTATCCCTCCAATTAGCGGCTTTTGATCGATACAGATCAAAGTTGCTATTGAATGTCACTTTTCTCTTCACATCACGTGTATACCATTCTTTCTTCACCTCAACATCTTGTTCATGAAACTTACCTACTCCTTCAATCATCCCTTCAAATACATTGAAAGGGATCCCGTGATTTACAACCTGAAAAAAGCCCCATGTCTCGGATGCACTCCTAACTTGATCAACAATCTCCTCGTGCTTGCCACCAAGATCTATAAGAGGAACCTGCAAGTCGTTCTGGTGATTATTTGACTCGTGAACAAGCTCATTAGGAGAAGGTGGCCGAAGAAATATCCTTGGAATATTCTCAATTCCAGCATCTACTAGTCCTTTGACACCAGTTTTGGCCTCATCAAAAGCTTGAAGCTCTCCAGCTCGATCATAATCAGACACAGTTTCAGAAGATGGGTTTCTACCGACTGAGATATCCATTCTCTATTTCTCTGTTTTGGTAGATGCAAATAATGGTCTGATGCATTATTAACTTTAATTCCCTCTATTTAAGACAAGGCTAATGATTATAGATTTCCCCAATTTTAGAGAGTAGTTTGGCACCAGAATAATTATTTTTCTACCTATTCTTTATAATTTTAAAATTAATTTTCTCATCAAATGCTTTTGTTTTCATTGTATTTTTCATTCAATTTAGTCTTATTATGATAGTTTTGTTTTAAAATCATAAATGGGTATAAACAGTTAAAAAAAAAACACTTTATCATAAATTCAAATAACATGACATTATTGGTGTTGTCACTAGGGGTGGGCGGGTCCGAGTACTCGCCCAAATGCCATGGAACTAGAATTGGCTAGTTCTTGGGATTTGGAACCCAACCTGAATCGGTTGATTTCGATTCTTAAAAGCCTGGTACCAGAACCTGAAATCGGGTCCCAAGTACCCAAAAAAATTAATTACCCCTTACTATTCATAAAAATGATAAATGTACCCTCAAAAAGTTTATAAAAATTATAGTTTAGTCTCGATTCCTAACTAGATATCCGAGTCTCGGTTTCGATTCTAATTTCGATTCTTACAATGATAAAACTGATATCAAAACCGCATAATACTGGTTTCCATTTTTTTGAATTAAAACCGACCTTATGAGGGCGAACTCCGAGTAAAAACCGGAATCAAAATCCTAAGTACCCATAGTTCTGTCCCACCTATTTTTTGTTCTCACCCCTAGTTGGCACACAGTTTCGTGCACTTCAAATAACGGGACACTTGTTATTGGTGTTGGCAAACATTTTCGTGCATAGCTACAAGCATAGGGGCTTATTTGGCTATTACCATCACAATCGTCTGTGGGGCACAATTCTTTGCGTAGAGGCCATGCCAAGCCATAGCTTCCACACAGAAGATGACTGAATAGACTTCTATGCATCTATTTCAAATAGAAAAAACTTCCTTCAACTACTCATATGATTTTTTCATGAATATATTTTGGAAGTATCCTTCTATTGATATATATAATTCAATTTTATTTTTTATCGAATTAATTTTTTTATATTCAATTTTTTATTTAGATTGTGACATGTCATTTCAATAACTTGAATTTTAAGAAATGGGTGTTAACGGTCAAAAGACGCTTTGTTAAGTTCAAACAGCTTGACCCTTAAGATGATGGTGTCGGCGGGTAAAGTCATTTTGTGTAGGCCATGTATACCTCCATTTGTAGGCCATGTATACCTCCATTTGTTCCACGCGGAAGATAACCGAATAAGATATATTGTCTCGACTCTCAACGAAAACTTTCTCTTGTCTTTATCTTTATTGAGTAGATAATATGATTTAAAGAAAATAGTTGCAGGATAAATGACAAATCTTAATCTGTGTCTGGAAGAATCACGAGGAATGTACCAAGATCTTGTAGTACCCCAGTTTTTAACAGAGTAGCTACTGCGGGAAGAAATTAAATTTAACTTGCTACATTGCAAATCGGCAGTCTTCCACAACTACATTATTATTTTCTCTAACATATTAGTCAAAATGTAGACTTTGTAACTAATGGCAAACTTTATTCAAATATTGTACAATTATTAATAGTTTGTACAACATTTGCAAATTTTATTCAAATATTCTCCATCTTCATAGCTTGAACTGATAAAGCACAGACTTATCACCAACAGCCCCAGAAAAATATGAGCTCAAATATTCTGAAATAAGAAAATCCCTGTAAACAGGTGGATTTTCTTCTGACGTCAACTCTTTGATTGGCCCATAGAGCTTTGGGGTTTCAGTAGCATGTCCAGTGAAGAAGCATGGCACAGAAATCCTTGAAACAGATCCACTGGCCACGACTCTGTGGTCAACGCTTTTAAACTTGTTGTTTGATATAACCTGAGTCAATTTTAAGAAGTTTAGAAACATTAATTTGTGATAAATGATCGTGGAGATAATCATGATGACAAAACTATCATTATAATTGCAGAAGACAAACCTGGAGAAAGTCCCCAATATTTATCACTAAGCCTCCAGCAATGGGGTGAACATCAACCCACTGATTTTCATGAAAGACTTGAAGACCACCGATTTGATCTTGTGATAGAATAGTAAGGAATGAAGGATCAGAGTGTTTGGTAGTTCCCAAGGTGAGATCTGGGGCGGGGCACGGTGGATAGTAGTGGCAACCAATATTAAATCCTTCAGTGCATCCCATCTCTTTTAAATGTTGAGGTTTCAGACCTAGGGCCATAGATAACAGTTCAAATAGAGTGTTCCCCAGTTTTGAAACATTTTTTATATACTCCATTGAACTGTCTCTGCAAAAACAACTCTATATATGTTAAAAGGAAAAGCAACCGTATTTGCTCAGTGTAACAATGTTGAGTAACTCAGAATTGAACAAGCTCTAGGATTGACCTAACAGAAACAGAACATAAAACAACTCATAAACTAACTGCACCTGATAATAAAACCTTAATCCAAAAGAACTTACAGAATTGATGAGATACTTTTCCCAAAAACAAATACATATATGTTAAACTTGATATCCTCTGAATTAGCAGTTATGGGCACACAAGTGACATCTGTCACCTTTCCTAGGCAGATTATAGTGCAGTCAACAATGAGCTGAATTAGAAATCATTTGGAGATAGTAGCTATACCTGCAAACTTCTGGTATTTCAGTTGGATCAAAAGGCTTGGAAGCTAATGTAGAAATAGCAAAAGTATCCCTCCAATTAGCTGTTCGTGATTGATACAGATCCATATTGCTGTAGAATCTAATGTTTCTCTTTGGGTCGCGAGAATATAACTCTTTCTTCACCTCGAGGTCCAGGTCATGAAATTTTCGTGCCCCATCAAGCATTTTCTCTAACACATCTAAGGGAATCCCATGATTTACGACTTGAAAAAGGCCCCATGTCTCAGATGCATCCCGGATCTGATCTACAATCTTCTGTAGCCTATCTCCTCTTATCCCATCAAGATCTACAATCGGTACTTGAAAGTTACTCTGATGAGTGGTCAACTCCTCGGCTAGCTCATCATCGGGTCGAATGAATATCCTGGGAATTTTCACAATCCCGGCATCTACTAACCCTTTAACTCCAGCTTTTGTGTCATCAAAACTCTTAAGCTCTTTAGCTCTGTCATAATCTGATGATTTACTGCAATCCAAGATATCCATCCTTTGTTTCATTCATACAGGAAAAATGATGAGAATGAAGATTAAAATGGGGTAGTTAATAGACTTTTGACTGAGATTCAGATAAATACCATTAATATACATTATCTTCTTTAAGTCAGGTAATGAATGAATAATTAAAAAGAGATAAAACATAATTATATGTTAGCTTATTAGTCACGTGGCATCAATAGAGATAAAGTCTAGTACGGTTCGTTTCATTTTTCAGAATTATGTCACATTTGATTTGCAGAGATGAAAACGACAGTAAGCAAGAAATCAAAAGTTTACACAGCTGCAACATGTTGACCAGTTCATCATTCACCTAAGTTCCAGACATTCCATTTAACTTACAGGGGTTGCAGGCTAGTTGCAGCCTACTTTGTAATTTATTTTGTATTATTGATAGCACAAGCATGTCAGCGTAATAAATATTACATAAAAATGCAGTGAGAAAATTTATCGAACACTTGATAAGCGGAAGTAACCAAGAATTTTGAGCTTCTAGCCCCTGACAAAACAATAGACAAGAAAGTAAAGAAAATACGTGGTTTGGTCAGAATTCCCTATATCCAGGGGTGATACTGATAGTTTTACCATATAAAGAAGAAATAGTATTACAACACTCTCAGGTTAATGGAAATTATAAATTTTGTCACTTGACCTACTGCAGGAAGAATTAAACATGACAATAAATGGCCGTCTTCCACAAGTACATGATTCTCTTTGTGTATTTTAACGAACCATAAGAACCGCAATTGACAAAAGCTGTTCTCCCAGCTGATACACCAAGATATGTGCAGCTGCTGTAGACATGCTGTATCATTTATGGATATGCCTGATCTGACATTAATGCTTGAAATATCTATCTTTATTCGGAAAGACTTCAGAATAGCAGTCCTAATATATTTTCCATCTTCATAGCTTGAACTGATAAAGCACAGACTTATCACCAACAACCCCAGAAAAATATGAGCTCAAATATTCAGAAATAAGAAAATCCCTGTAAACAGGTGGATTTTCTTCTGATGTCAACTGTTTGACGGGCACATAGAGCTTTGGGGTTCCAGTAGCATGTCCAGTGAGAAAGCATGCCACAGAAATCCTTCGAACAAATCCATTGGCCACGACTCTGTGGTAAACGCTTTTAAGCTTGTTGTTTGATATAAACCTGATTCAGTTTTAAGAAATTTAGACACTAATTTGTAGTAAATGATGGTGGTGACAATGATGACGACAAAATTATCATTATAACTGTAGAAGACAAACGTAGAGAAAGTCCCCTATATTTAGTTATTTACCACTAAGCCTCCTGCAACGGTTGAACATCAACCCACTGGTTTTCATAAAAGACTTGAAGACCACCGATTTGATCTTGCAAAACAATAGTGAGGAATGAAGGATCGGAGTGTTAGGTAGTTCCCAAGGTGAGCTCTGGCTCGGGGCACAATGGATAGTAGTGGCAAGCTATACTAAATCCTTCTGTGCATCCCATCTCTTTTAAAAGTTCAGGTTTCAGTGTTAAGGCCATTTGATAACAGTTCAAATAGAGTGTTCCCCAGTTTTGAAATATTTTTTATATACTCCATTGAACTGTCTCTGCAAAACAATTTTACAAATGTTGAAAGGAAAAACAAGGAAAAACAACCATACTTGCTCAATGAAAAAACAACCATTTTTTCATTTACGTTTATTACATCGATCGACTCCTTAAAAGCACAACAATTTATGAATTAACTGTAACAAAGATCTTATTACTTTTATTTAAAATTAACTATTTAGAGAACAGTGTTATAAATGATTAAAATAGAAATTATAATAACAATCCCTGACGGGGCGATTCTCTTAACATAAGATATGTGTCAGTTATATGGCTTTTAAAATAGAGTTTTGCTAAGATGTGAAATTGTGAATTATGATTTCTGTCACCTTTCCCTAGCAATTTACAGTGTAATCAACAATTTGTTGAATTAAAATTCGCATGGTAGTGAACGAAATAGAGAAGCAACAGGAACAAAATAATAATAGTAAAACAAAACAAACTGTAAACAAAGAAATTATAGGAGCGATTTACCCTGGTTCACCCAATGTGGGTTACGTTCAGCTGAGTCAATATTATTGAAATATGCCTCACCTCTCTCGTTTACAATGAATGAATTGCTCTCACTCACATAACAAGAGAAAAGAATGTTTATATACTAGGTTTAAGAGATTAAACTTAGTTTTACAAGAATTCCTATTCCTAAGCCCAACCCAAAAAGGAATTAATAACTTAAAAGGAATCCTATAACGGTTATACATGGAAAAGCCCAAAACCACCTACGGGCTCGGGGGCGCTGCCCCTGCGACCCCTGCCCACTCATCGGGGAGCGGGACACTCGCCCGTTGACCGGTCAGTGGGACCCCCGAGTGCGTCTCCGTTACCCATTAATGCTGAAGTAGTCGACAACCCCAACAGGTAGTAGTAGCTATACCTGCAAATTTCTGGTATTTTACTTGGATCAAAATGGTTGGAAGCTAAAGTAGAAATAGTCAAAGTATCCCTCCAATTAGCTGTTCGTGACTGATACAGATCTAAATTGCTGTAGAATCTAACGTCTCTCTTTGGGTCACGAGAATATAACTCTTTCTTCACCTCATGGTCCTCGTCATGAAATTTTCGTGCCCCATCAAGCACTTTATCTAACACATCTAAGGGAATCCCATGATTCACGACCTGAAAAAAGCCCCATGTCTCAGATGCAGCTCGGACCTGTTCAACAATCTCCTCTAGCCTTTCGTCTCTGATGCCATCAAGATCTACAACTGGTACTTGAAAGTTGTTCTGATGAGTGTTCAACTCCTCAGCTAGCTCATCATCAGGTCGAATGAATATCCTGGGAATTTTCACAATCCCAGATCTACTAATCCTTTAACTCCAGCTTTTGTGTTATCAAAACTCTTAAGCTCTTCAGCTCTGTCATAATCTGATGGTTTACTGGCATCCGAGATGTCCATCTTCTGTTTCATTCATACAAGAAAAATGATGAGAATGAAGATAATAATAGTGAAGTTCATTGACTATCACTGATGTTTATATAAACATTATTACTTCATGTTATCTTCTAAAGTCGAGTAATGAATAATTAAATAATTAAATTGTTAGCTTATTTATCACATGGTATCAATCAGTCTAGTACAGTTTGCTTGATTATTCCGAATTATGTCACATGCGTATTAATTTATTGGCAGGTTCCAAAAGTGTGTCCCATATCTCTTCTTATCAACTTAAAAACCACGTCTTATTACCCAAATGCTTGCTCTTGCGTATTTACCCATCTCAATATTCAATCCAATAGTGTAACAATTTCAGAAAGAATCAGACACAGATTATAGAGAATACCCCACAATGACTACCTATTTTCTTGGCTGTCATGAGTAGTCCCTTGGAAATTACTTCATCCGCTAAGCAAACGTCCATGGGTTCTGGAAGGACTCCAGAACAACACTCATATGTCAATTGTTTGTACAACATTTGAAAATTTCATTCAATTAGTCGATCTTGACAGCTCCAATTGACAAAGCACAGACTTATCAGCAACTGCCCTTGAAAAATGAGCTAAAGTATGCATTAAAAGAAAACCTCTGTAAATAGGTGGGTTTTCTTCTCATGTCAATTCTTTGATGGGCCCAAGAGCTTTGGCGTCGCAGAGGCATGTCCTGTGAGAAAGCATGCCACGGAAACCCTACCAATACCGATGGAGACGACTCCATGGTCTACACTTTTAAACTTGTTTGATATAGCTGTTGGATAGTGCCTTAAATCTCATACTGCTTGCGAATTCTCCCGTTTAAATAAATTAGTATATTGAGCTTTAAAGTATTTTAAAAAGTGTTAGTTAGACACCAAAAGAATAATAATTGTAGGTTATTATTAAAGGTGTAATTGAGCTTTTTTGGGATAGTGTATGGAGTTTACAATTTTTTCACTTCTAAAAATTGTATAGTTGTAAATTTTTACTTAGTGGATTATTTGAGTGGATGGTGGAAATAAGCTAAATTGATTGGACCAAACCACTTTAAAATTCTTTTATTTTGATTTTTTTTTAATTTTTTAGTTGCTTGCCTCAATTTTGCATTTGAGTTATGCGAATTTTTTTCAACAAGGGGTACTGGAAGAAGGCAAGCTGGAGAGGAGGCCGGATTTAAGAATAGATTGGCGATTATCAAGTATCTCAAATTTCTTAGAGGTATGTCTAAGTTTGAGGTTCATTTATTTGATGGTAAAATTAATTTTATGTTATGCCAAAGTACGATACAATACCTTTTGGTACAATAAGGTATTGATCAAGCATTAGAAGAGAGTAAGTCAGAGAAGATGTATAATAGAGAATGGAATAGAATTCAAAGTAGAGTTGTCAGTACTGAGTACAATCAGATTGACCTTAGCTCTAGAGATAAAGTATAGCGTGCTGACTGAGTCTACACCAAAGGGTTTGTGGGAAAAATTGGAGGGTATTTATGCATCAAAATCGTTGAATAACAGATTGTGTTTAAAGATGGATCTATATTCTCTGAAGATAGATGAAGGTACGAGTCTCCATGATCATTTAAATGAATTTAATAGGCTAGTATCGCAATTGTTGGCTATTTCTGATGAGTTAAAGGATGAAGAAAATGCATTGATATTGTTATCATCTTTCCCTAAATATTATAGACCTTTAGTTCAAACTTTGTTGATAGTCAGATCTACTTTAAATTAGATCATGTGACTGCCTTGTTGTGTGAGAATGAAAGGTTTATGGGATCAGAGAACTCATCACTTAGAGGAGATCTACTAGTTGTAAAAGGTTCTAATTGAGCGAGGACTCAAGAGACAATTAACTGATAAATCAGAAGTCAGAGATTACAGTAATAAGGAGTGTTATTATTGTGGAGAGAAGGGACATATCCAACCACGGTGCAAAAAATTAAGGGAGGATATGCTTGCTTTCAAGAAGGCTCAACTTATGAAGGATTCGAAGGATGATGCTTGGGTTGCTGATAATGAAGGTGAATTTTTAGTAACATGTCAAGATGAAACTCAAACTTCAAAGGGTGAAAAAGGTTGGGTTTTAGATTTTATTATATATATGCATGTTTTTAATGAT